ATGCCCCCCCCCCCCCCATTAAAAAAAAAGAAAAAAATAATAATACATGAAATAGCGACTAGTAACACTCCTAGTTCCGCATGTAAAAATGCCCATTCCAGTACAGAAACTGAGAGATCTGACCTTTGCATTATGTAACCTAACGCTCGCTGTTAGCTTCTGCAAAACCAACAGTTGATTGTTGTAAAGAACTAACGGTGGAGGAAGTCAGCAGGTTCGTTTATAGTATCACTTCCCGCTATAACATCTTGGCTTTAAGTATCCTCTGCTCAGAACAAGCGCCTGAAAATCTTTCTAAGTATTTATCCACAAAAGGCGATAAAAGCCTCTTATACACAGGTCAGTTTATGGAAATTATATCATTTGGGTCTTGTGGCCATTAAGGAGCCCCCCCAAAAAAAGCATCAACCTCTCTCTCTCTCTCTCTCTCTCTCTCCTCCCCAAGTTAGTGTGAACATGTACATGCGCATCCGCCAGTCTGTATAGATTAAAATGCATCCACACATATAAGTAAAGAAGACAGCTAACAGCTCCAAGCCTTTCAGAGAGGCAATGATTGCTCTGTACAGTGGACGGGGGTGCTGACGTCACCCCGGGTTAACGGTCGGGTCTCTGCACGCAGAACACTTTTGCTTTGTGATCTCCAGATGCGGTCACCACAATGGAAGCATCCCTGAAACGACAGGATAGACAACTTCTTAAAGTGGACATGAATGCAAGAAGTGAAGGTATGCTATGATAGTGGGAACATTTAGTGATGTAGTACCCTGAAAAACCCACCTTTTGTCTTCCTGCTATGTGGAGTGTACCTACAGCATCATAGCTGTATACCTGCAGTGCGAGATCTAAGGCACTGTTGCCCGACTGCTGGTCTCACGAGATTTGGTGATGTCACTACTGTATTATTATTATTATAATATAGGATTTATATAGTGTCAACAGTTTGCGCAGCGCTTTACAATATAGGGAAGACATTATAATTACAATGAAATTCAAGACAAGGTAAGGAGGGCCCTGCCCATGAGGGCTCACAACCTAAAAGGGAGGGGCCAGTGATACATGGAGGAGGTAGCTGTACTGCTCACTGTTCTCCTTGCTGGAGAGGAAGCTGTACCTGAAGACCTGCAGTGCAAGAATCTCCCTGCTCCTGCCTCATTCCATTCTGTGGAACTGTGCTTCTTTCACCTCTCCTGCCCCTTGATCATTACTCCACCAGTTATCAGATCAGGGGGGCAACTCTGATATGAAGAAGCAAAGCCCTGCCTCTACTAAGATGGCTGCCTGCACACGGAGACACAGTGCAGAACAAGTCATGCAGAAAGATCAGCTGCAGGGAGACCACAGGCAATACTGGTGGCTAGACCTTTGCCCCGTGTCTGCCTTTTTTTGGGCACAACTTTCAGAGTTTGGTTCAGAAAAATAAATACAAGGCCTTTTCGTGGTTTTCTAAATCATAATGGATTTGGATCACTTTTCGTTACATTTTGCTTTTTATTTTATATGTTTTTAGACTATATCTAAAAATTTAAGAGTATATCTAAAGCCAAAAGAGAGGAAATATTGAAACCTCTGGTCAGGTTTCTATTGCCGCCTGTGCCCTGTTGGGTAGTTCCACCCTCTGTCGGTCCTTATGTCCACTGTCACAGGGACAAAGTGATGGGAAACCCGAAATGTTATGGATGTTACCGGAATAGGAGTAGAGAGGAACTCTTCCAATGGGGATACCTTTTTCAGTGATACCTACTGAGGGGGGATTTTCCCTTAGTTTTGAGAGCTTTCCTCTCACTTCCTGTTGTGTCCTCAGGAGAGGAAGTAAAATAAAAAAAGTAAATGGCTTTAGATATACTTTAAACTGTGCGATATGTTTTTTTACTTTATGCACTTTAAAGAAAAATCATTACACCGCAAAGGAATTCCAGAGCCCCGTGGGTTAGCCTAAGAGACAGAACAGTAGTAACTTCCTTTCAGGTTCTCCCTGATATCCCAGACGGAGTCATCCAATACGGGACCAATCACTTAAAGTGACATTAAACCCTCAGATTTTTTAACATAAAACAATACTGTAATGTGCGCCTTACTGTAATCCATGGTTGTTTCCCTTCTCTTTGCTGCTCTTCCTTTTAAATCCGTATCTGTTCTCATGCTGGGCAGAACTTCTGTTTTGCAGCAGACTGCCTTGTCTCTGGAATGGATACATGGTGTCTGTGTGTAGGTTTGCAACCTGAGCCAGCACTACAGGAAGAGGCACTCAGCTGCACAGGGAAGTTCTCCCCAAGCATGAGAAGACATGAGGATTTAAAAAGGAAGAGCAGCAAAGAGAAGGGAAACAACCATGGATTACAGTAAGGCGCACATTACAGTATTGTTTTATGTAAAAAAATCTGAGGGTTTAATGTCACTTTAACTGTGACTTTCAGAAGTCTAAAAGCTTGTAAAATGGGGCTTAAATCCCCACCTGCTGGCTAGAGAGGAGACTACATAAACTATACAATATTTTTAGGGGGGGTGGGGTTGGCGCTGGTAAGAACTGCCTGCCAAACATAGTCACATTTGCCACTAGTCTTAAAGTCACAAATTTGCGGAACAGATACTCACTTATTAAGAGCAAAGTCAAGAATTTCCTCTGTGTGCCCGCAGTATTCGCTGATCATTTTCCCTGAGCGGGAATCCCAGAGTCTCACAGCCCCGTCCAGGCTGCACGTGTACACCACCGGAGAGTTGTCTTCCCAGAGGAGCTGTACAATCCCGGACTGGAGACACAGACAGGGAAGGTCAGAGGTCACCAATAATCATAGACATCCTTCGTGTAAACAATAGGCAGACATACACTACATGGAAAAAAGACAGTTGACCATCACACTTATATGAGCTAGCTGGACAATCCACTCCAGAACTATGGGCATTCATATGGGGTTGCCCCCTTTGTGGCTTTAACGGCCTGCACTTGCCTAAGAAGACTTTCCATAAGATTGTCCGGGGGAATTTGTGTCCATTCAGACAAAATTAATTACCCCCCCAGCTTCCTGATTCGCCAGAAAGCTGGCTTTATGCTACCTCGTTACCTGGTTGAGTCATTACATGCTACCCATCATCCCAGCTAATCAGGAAGCCGGGTGGTGAGTCATTACATCCCGCCCGGCTTCCTTAAAAGGAGAACTATGAGGTGAGTGATTTTCACTCACCTCATAGTTCTAGCCGACCTCTGACAATGAGACTGTCACAGGACGGCTCAATAGATCGGGAAGTGAGCGAACACATACCGTTGCTCGCTCACTTCTCGATCCTGTCCCTGCAGAGAGCGTTGACTGTCACTCACGGCTCCCCGCAGGGATTCCCCCCTCCCCGCTCCGATCCTCCAGCGCTGAGTGGAGAAACGGACAGAGAGGGGGCGGGTACAGCTGGCTCTGCCTCTAGATAGGCAGAGCCAGCTGTCACTCACGCAGCCGGGTGGATCTCGACAGTAATGTTGGGATCCGTCCCGGCTGCGGCAGTCTCAGTATACCGTGAGCTGTAGCTCGCGGTATACTGAGCTTTGGGTCACGGGAGGACGCTAGTTTATGTCCTCCTATGACCATTAGGAGAACTATGGGGAAAAACACTTACCCCATAGTTCTCTTTTAATGGGACTTCTGGTATCGGCGAGTAACAGAAAAATAAATATCGGTTCTCGATATCGAAAAACTTGTATCAGTGCGTCCCTAGTTCGAACCTCTCACCGCTCTATCCAAAACAAAAAGAATAGTTTTAGTCCACTTGTAAGCGGTGACGCATTCCTGCAAACCTTCATGAAATGAATTTTCATGTTAAATGAAGGATACAAATATTCAATCTTTTATCAACTTTTCTCTACGGCCATTTGACTTCTAAATAGACTTTGAAAACAATGATTATCCAGAAGTAGAATTATATTTGGTTATTTCTGTGGTTTTATAGGTTCATAGACTATAAAACAAGAAAACATTTGACAATGTACAACACCCACACACACAAAACGCGTAAAAACAAATTCATCTAATAGAGAACTATGTAAATCTGGGATTATGGCCGTCATGCCTACTTTCGTCATATAACACAAAGTCTTAATCTCGGGTCATCATTTGTCTTTTGAGCTTTAAAAAGATCAAACCCATTTTTTACACACAAAAAAAGAAAACATGCGGTGGGTCTGGAAAATGTTACACACATAATTAAACATTGCTTTATCTACAGCTCATGGAACATGAAGGAGGACGGAGCACAGAACACAGAGGAGGATGGAGTGTCTGTGCCGGCGGGATGAACATGAATGTAGACCCCATGTGACGAGGGTCTGGAACATTTTGTACCATGAATAAAATGGAAATCGAGATCCGATAACAAAGTTGGTTCCTTTTTCCAAATTAAAATGAGATCCAAATCTCCTACCAATAAAATATTGCATAATCATACTTAGAGCACGGAACAGTTGTAAGCATTTTAAAGCTAAACTTCCTGAATTTTGTACATAAACTTTGGGCATAAATTAGGAATGTCGGTGGCGATAATGAGTATTTGGGAGAGTACAAGTACTCGCCCAAATGCTCAGATACTTACCCCCGATACCGAAACCTCTGGTCAGAGGAAGATTTCCTTTGAGCAGAAGTGCGGCAAGGGAACATGGAGCCGGCTTCCTGACCAATCAGGAACCCCGGCGGCAGGTAATGACTTCCCGCCCGGGTTCCTGATTGGCTGTGAAGGCGGCTCCATGCGGTTTGCCCGACTCAATGCTGATTGGCCGGAAAGCCGGCTCCCCAGCCAATCAGCATGGAGCCTGCATCCCGGATAACCAAAAAAAAAAATACCCATAGCTCCCTGCAAGAGTTAAATGCTTGTTAATGCCCACCTCCTGGCAAACCAAAAAGCTACCCCTGCACTATAAAGATGCGAGTGCTCGTTTAGGTCTAGGGGACTGGAGTAATGCAGATTTACTTACCTGATCCCCGTTTCCTTGGTGGTTGGTGCTAATCTCTCTCCTTTCCACTTCAGCTGGTGAAATGTCCCTCTACTTCCTCAGGTGTAATGGAGGTCTATGGAACTTGCATTAGATGTGATGACATCACAGGTCCTTAAAATGCCTAAGCAAAAGGGGAGAAGAGGCTGGGGGGGTCGCTCTAGGAGCCCAGAGGGAGCGTGGATCATGCAAGTAAACCAGCTTTACTCCATCCCCTAGACATACACGAGCAGGTAACCCTTGCAGTGTGGGGGTAGCCCTACTGCAAGGAAAATGTTTTTGTTTGCCTAAGTCTAGGGGTAGAGAAATAAGTTTTAATACTTGCCCTATTCCTAGCTTCAGCAGACTTCCTCCACGTTGTACAAAAAGTCCCCCGAAGCCTGTTCTCTATAATGTGCTCTGGCCAGCAGTTGCACTCTGACGTCATCGCATACAAGCCAGGACCAGCAGTTCTTCATTGTACACTTCATTGTACCCACCCACAACCCAGAGCGTCAGAGAGAAGAGGTGAGCACCAGAATCCT